TGGGAATTTTGAAGTACACGGAGAAAAATAATGGAGTACATTGCAATTGTTTATAAATTATACGAAAAAGTGTAGTAATAAGTTAAGCTTATTATTCTTATTTTCAGAATATTACAAAAGCAACAACTAAAAAAAATAATTACTTTTGGCTGCTCACAAGTTAAAATACCAGGTGCATTTCTTATAGCATAAAAGTGTATACAAATATCTTTATTTTGATTTTGATCGGACAGTTTGTATGGCAGCTTTATGCTATAGTGCTCTATCTGAACAATATGCTTAGAGAGTGTAGCGATACTTTTGGCAAAAAGTCACGCCAAATTTCGTAAAGATATCTTGTCAATTTAGAATGTTTTCCTATAGAAGTTCGATATTAGCGGTTCCGACAAATATGTAGCTTCTTAACGAGAAAAGGACGTGCACAAAATTTCAAATCGTTATCTTAAAAACTTCGGGATTAGTACACGTATATACAAACGGACATGGCTAAATCGATTTAGCTCGCTAATTATTTTGTAAATTCACCGACGTCCCGTCTAAATACTGCAAAATTTGTGGCAAAGTGAGTATATATATTTAGGGTAATATTAATGGAGTTTAGCCACTTATTTTCAAAATGTCACCGAAATTAAGAAAGTAATTCTAGAAAAGGTCATCCCGCTGATATCGATAATGGAAAAATTTCTAAAGCTATGCTATCCAGGATCTTCCTTAATTCCATAGAAACCGTTCAAAGCCGGAAACGATGAAAAACCAAAAGTTAGAGCAACTGGAAATTATTAATCCTTAAGGGGACATTTGAAGTACGAAATCGCTAATATATTCCTTCATTTTAAGAACAAGAAAAATCTCTTTCAAAAGAACCGTGTTTCACAAACCAATTAAAAAAATTCAAAGCTACATTAATTATTTTTGATTGAATAATAATTATTTTTAAATTACTGAAAATTAATAGTTGTATTTACCAACGGTCGAGACTGAGAACATTTGTGAAGCAAACGAATAATTGTCTTAAGAACATATGTGCTATTGCCACCGTTGGCAATTATCTTGTGTAATAAATTGCGTTTTGCAAAAATTGTTTCCTTTTTCTATTAAAGGTTTCGAACTTCTCGTCGTGCCGGTTATTCTTATTAAAAACTGTTGTTTGGTGATATTTTCAAAAAAAAAAACAAATCTCCTGAAGGCTATACCGAGTTATTCATTATAAGATGTATTCGAGCTATTTTTCAAGGCGATCAGAAGCATAACTGAATGTGACAGTCTACTGATCCCAAATTACTGCATATACCTTCCTACCATGGCAACTCATAATCCTCTCTGCGTATTGGTTAAGTAGAAATACCGAAGGGGAAGTCTGTTTTTCGGGATTGAAGAAATGTTGGGTATTATTCCTTTAAAAAAAATTTATAAATCTATTTTGATTTTTATAGAATTACTAAAAGAACCGGCCACTCGTTTTTGTGGCTAAGGTAAGTTAGGATATTTTTGTAGGCTAAAAAAATTTTATGAAGTATTATGTAAAATATGTATTTCGAGATAGTAACAAATTTCAAAATAAATAGTAATTAAGTAATATCCGTAAGAAGAAAGTAATGGATGTACCAAAAAGTAACAAATGTGTTCAGCCAAACTGTCTTTTATGAATCTTCATTCAGATATGTATCGTATAGGGTAGCATGGCAGCATGAATGTTTAGACACTATACACCATACAACTGAAACTCAAATATACTTTTGAATATCTGACACGACTGCAGCCCAGTCTGCAGGAATTCTATGTTAAACGTTCTAAAATCAACAACCATTTATAAATAAATAGATTCATTGTTAAAACATTATCTAGTTGATCGAATTTTGAATCTAAGCCATTTTCAAACCCCCATGAATCGAATACATACAAAAAATTTCTGCCTAGCTGCCATTCAAACTAACCGAACAAAATCAGAATAAACATATTTTTATACTCTTTTATGCTATAAAAAATTTACCTGTGAAGGGTATTATAGCATCAGTGCAGCCAAACGTTTTTGCTTGTTTAAAAGTTTTTAAAAGTTGTGTGAGAAAGTCTCTTCTAATTTGGTATTTTCTTGTTTATCATGAAAGATTCTCAGTAGTACAAGTAGTTCTATAGTTAATTTTTTTTTTTGCTTACAGACTGAAATAGTGAGCGTACTTAAATATGGAGAATACATAGTTTTGAAATTTCCCTAAAAACTGTATATCTCATGCTTAAGCAAAAACACTTATTCAAAAGCTTTTTTGATACAGTGAAAGTCAGCTTTTTCATATACTATTTGACTAGTATTACTTCGACTAGTATTTTATTAAGCGTTTAGATATTATTTTGTTGCATCAAAATCTGCGCTGAAGTTCAGTTATACATGCATTCTTTTATTTACATTTTTTTAAGTTTATTAATTTATATTAAAAAGTATAAATTTGGTCTTCTATTTCAGATCAAAACAATGTGCCTATCGAAAACTGGAACGGTAAGTGCTCTTAATTATGTACAAAATTTATATTCCAATAGTAATTGATTAAAGAAAGAACTTTTGTTTTTTAATCTCGCCACATTGTTCAATTAAATAATTTATGGGATCTCCCTGGTAAAACTTTTATTTTCAATTTTTAGTAGTTAAAATATTTTCTCATGAAACCACATAAATCCATGTTTACATATGAGAAAGAGCGAAAGAGAGTTTCGTTTTCACATTTATCTACGCATCATCAGCGCTTTGCGGCATTCTTTGTTCATCTAAAAGTACTATTAATTCATCATTGTGCCATATCACGCTTGCTGTTTGAGAACATTTATAGCTGCCATGTGCTTGAGCTTAACTTCATTGCATATAATTACACTTTCTCTTCGTTATTGATATTCTAAGTGATTTTTTTATTCATATGCTAATTTTATATTTTGTTGGCAGATCAGCACATCAATATCACGATAAGAAAAAAAAGTTTTGGAAGATAAATGCAAATGCGTAGATCTTCTTCCATTCTATTAATGTGTGGAAATAATTCTTTGCAAATATGTACAGTTGTGAGGAAGAAAATAAAAAAAAATAAAAATTTTTGGAACACTGAAGAGCTTTTATTATACATTTAGATATAACGCATGGGCTGAAAAGGCCTGAGCCTAACAAAAAAAGCACGGTTTTTTTTTTGTTGAAAACTGGCTTTATCCATCAATATGGAGATTATCAAGAGTGACACAGTCATTCCAGCGTCGCTCTAACATTTCAATACCACTTTTGTAGAACGATTTGTCTTTTGCTACGAAATAGGCCTCAGTTTTAGTGATAACCTCTTGATTCCAGCGAAATTTCTTACCGGCAAGCATTTTTTTGAGGTCTGCGAACCACTAATAGTCGCTGCGAGCCAAATCTGGAGAATAAGTTGTATGCGGCAAGTTCAAAGTGCAGCTCATGCATTTTTGTCATTGTTTTGATTGACTTGTGACACGGTGCGTTGTCTTGATGATACAAATTTGTTTTCTTTGCCATATGCGGTCGCTTTTTAACAATTGCGGACTTTAAACGTTCCAATTATGCTATATAATAGTCACTATTGACTATTCCAGCTGATTGTTGTGCTTTCGGGCGCTTTGGACGAGCAGCTGTTGTCCACTCAGATGACGATAATGTTGATTCCGGAGTGAAGTAATGTATTCAGGTTTCATTCATTATCACATATCGACACAAAAACTCCAGTTTGTTACGTTTAACATATGATCTAAATTACTTAAGTTCCATTGTATTAGAAACTTTAGAAATGGAAATTCACTCATATTCGCAATCTCCAATAGTTAAACTTCTTTTTTTATCAACTTAATGCTATGATTAATTAAAAATATTTCTCAAAAACAAGCTTACCAAACAACACATTCATCCTTTGATCATCAAAACACCATGGCTTAAAATATCTTGTCTAAAGCAATTTCTAAAAAAAATCAGACAACTTTCTGTGCATATTTAAAAAAAAAGTTTTTAAAATTGTTGTTGTTCTAGAGAAGATTTAAAGTGATTTTGAGAGATTCTGCCGAAATGCCTACCTTTGGACGTCTAAAAGGCCGTGTCTGTTCGTATTAAGCAGAGCCATCCGAAACGCAAAAAAAACATCAATTACTCTATTTATCGAGTTAGCACAGTCTGGAACTCTCAAAAATGCCAAACTTTTATATATTTTTCAGGCAGTAAGTAAAATGGATTCGAAATACTCTCTTTTAAGCTTTATTTAACTAGAATCTGGTTATATAGAAAGTTTTGATACAAAATGGTAGCTACAGAGCCAACTTTGGAATCATCTTTTTTTAGAAGGTTTTAACGAACGATGACAATTGCTGTTAAATAATATATGGTTTTAGTTACAATTTGTCGCAAAATGTTTCGAACTTGAAAAATATAAAAAATTTTAATCGAAAAAATGCGCTGCTAATTTCAAAGGAAAAAAACTCAAAGTTTTGATAATCTTGAATCAGAATCTGTTTGAAGCTTTTCATATATCGGATAAGACCAAAACGCATTTCACAAGAAAAGGAGAGGCGTCTACCAGGTATTGTTGTTGTTGAAAAGAAGACATGATTATGATTCAAAGCTATACTATTTTAATGTACGCCACTGTATATGTGGCATATACATACATGTTATATATGTTTTGTTGCCATTAGAGCTTCATTGCTACATACTTTTAGGCGTTTGAAATAGTCTATAATGAAGAACCACCAGATTTTATTTATTTATTAACATTCTCTGCCAGAGACTTGCAGCAACGCTGTTACCAGCTTAAACAAACATTTTTTTTTTTTAATTGTATTATTTTCTAAATTATATGCGAACTAAATAATTAATTTATGCTTCAGAGACTGCTTTGCTGCATTCTTTTTATAAACAATGATCTTTGTAATATTCATTGACAATATTCATAAAATCTCCCTATCAACTTGGAAAAATATTTTTTTATATACTTTTCACTTAGCAAATGTCAACAATCATTCAAATGTGATTGTTCTAAATTTCAAATCGGAAACTTTTTTTTTCATTTAGTTGAACAAAATTTGAAAAAAGTCTAGTTTTTGTAGAAGATATCAATATATAAATACAAAAATATAAAACATCAATAAAAAGCAGCTATTTGCGAAACTGCGCAAATGAAGCCCAATCGCAAGGACCCCATAGCGTCGGTGTGCCCGAAAAAAACCAACACGATCGGCACAATAACCGGCGCTGCGGTCGCAGTGGACGCCACGCAGCATAATGACGAATTGC